CACTTAGCGATTAAAATTGATCGAGTTGTCAAAGCCTCGACAATTGAATTAGTTGTATGAGAATTGGAATGGTGTAGGGAGATATTGTCCGGTGATTTGCCCAGTTGATGAAGAGATGAATTTATTGGTTAGTTCATTGAATGATTGACTTGAAGGATCAATAATGGATTCGTTAGTGGAGGACGCGGGTGACTTCTACGACGGAGAGAATGAAAGTGACGATAAACGCAATGAGCATTCCTTCAAACGATCCGCAACAACCAGCGAAACGTCAGCCGATGGGAATGAGGCGAAGAAACCGAAAATCGAACAGAAAACGGAAGCAAAAACTGAGGTTTGTTTTTGAATTCATTGTGATCTTTTAGTTACATTAATTCATTGTCAATATGATAATGGTCATTATAGTTGATTTGCTTATTGTTATTATTATTGTCAGTGTTGTGTTGTTGTTCTTTCGATAATCATTGTTGTTGTCATGACCGTTATTGTTTTTAAGTTTTTAGTTCAAATGATGTTTTTAGTTGATTTATTTAGTTGAATGATTGTTTTGGATATTCGCATTCAGAGTTGTTTCAATTATGAAACTGAAAATTTAGACAGTGTTGATGTATTATATGATGTTATTTATTGCAGACATGAACTATTGCGATCAACGGTCTGGTGTAAAGAGTTTGCGTTTTTGTGTCACACGTATTTTTGTGTTCGTATGAAAATGATCACGAATGGTTGAGCCATCTTCATCTAAGCCCAGTAATTGGTAATTGGATCGTTCAAGTGAATTGTGTGGGAACACATCCTTCGCATATGAACTTACTGTTTTGGTTGTGTTTGCATATGTTTATTTGCTAAAAAGATTTGTTTTTAAGTTATGGTTATTATTATTGTTATTATTGTATTCGATGATAATTGTACTGATTTTATTTTTCTTAATTGTTACCGTTGAATGTTGTTCATTGATGTCTTGACTATAGATTATTGAGTAGAGTTGTGTATTTTTGATAATCAAACTGAGTTTATGATTATCATTCTTACATTTATAAATATTATTATTGTTTTTGTTTAAATTGTTGTTATGATTAACGTTATTAATGTAATTATCATCATTCGGATCATTCACGTTGTTGCCACTATAAATTCAGTGCGCAACACCCATATGGTTACATTTGTTGTGACGACGAAGAAGAGAAAAGTTCTGATGTTGTTCTTACCTCGTCTTTGCTTATAATCAACTCGATTGGCAGTCTTTTCAGCGTTTTGAATTCATCTGTTTCAAATTTGTGTTGTTTCAAGCAATTGTTGCTTCGCATATCGTTTAGTCTATTGAAAATCAGCGAAATTTCACGTCTCTTCTCCTTGAATCGTGATGTCTGTCATCATTGAGTCGTTATCAAGTAATAACGTCAGTTTGAGGGAAGAGAAGACCTTTTATCACCACTGGATTCATGTTATGTTTTTTTTAATTCGTCATTTGTCATTTTCATCCTTTCCTGATTGATTGTTTGTTTGAAGATGATTTTTTGAATTTATTTTGATTGTTTTCTAAATATTTTGAAGTTGATCATGATCGAATAACGTGGTTTGTGAATCTTTTGAGTTGTGCAGCAGAAAGTTGATGAGGTTGAGCTGGGTTAAGTGAGTGTGCGAGCGTGAGAATCATCTAGCAGTGATAATACGGTATTAAGATGATAGTTGCGATTTTGGCTCTTTTTATATAATGAGATTCATTTGATTGTTTGGAATTCAGGAGGATATGCGACGATTAAATAGTTGTTGTTCAGGGTTTAGTTAAGATTTATTGAGTGAGATATAGTTTATTGAGAGTTTTTCGAATAAGTCTCTTCGATATTACGATTTTATGCATTTGGGTGGACCCGAAGTTGAGGCGCAGAAGATAGGATCTGGGATCGGATTTCTTTTGGGGATTGAGTTTTTAACGACCGAACGAGGAAGGTGAACGGTGAGAAAGAAGCAAACGCCTACCTCTAAATCTCATAAGCGTAATTGCAGTGGTTCCGGTCAAACGTGTTGTTGACAATGCAAAGGAACCTGATCTCGTACGGTCTCGATTCCCCACTTTTATTGTATTATTGTTGTGATTACTTTGTATTTTTATGATTATCATTCGTATTCTTTTGTATCAGTGTTTTTAACAGTGCGATTGCTTCATTTTTAACATTCAATTGCTTTCGTTTATGCTTATTTGAACTTGATATGATAATTGCTTCAAATGATTTCCTAAGTTTTCATTTGTCTTGTTTCATTTGTATTTGTCAATCAATCAAAGAATCTTTTTTCGGAAAAAAAATTGTTTCAGTCCTATTGACCAATATGTTTTTGTTTTCTTTGTACCACGTTCTGTCAGTTTGAACTACGAACAGCTACAAGAAATAAAATTTTCACCGTATTCCAATGCAGACAATGGTCATTTGACTGTTTGTTTTGTTCCTTTGTTGTTTTTCTTTACTTCTGCAAATTTATGAACAAAAGTTGCGGTTGTCCATAATGAGTGGAGGATTTTCAAACTTTGAATCGGATGATGGAAGTCGATTGGCGGTGAGAAACTCATGTAATATGTTGGGACTAAGTGAAATTTCTTGGTGTAGTGGCAAGAGCGATAGGCTGTATTTGATAAATAGGTGAGAATAATTCTTGGATAGAAGATACCGCTCATGGAGAGTGCAACCTTAATAGATTTTGTCAATTCAGACTGTTTTGTCAAAATCTCATGAAATGTTTCGACGTGACAGATTTGACCAGAAAATCTTTTCAGTCATAGAATTCGTTCATGACGATGATACTTGAAATTAGCGTTCTGCTGAACTTGGGAGGTTGTGTAACGGCTAAAGTTTTCGGCGTGTGGTATGTCGTAGTAGTCTTTAAAATAAACAA